GCTGATTTGCATAGTTTATTGGATGTCTTTCAGCGTGGACGAGATATATCTATTTGCTTCAGGAGATTTTGATACCGTGTATTTGCTGGGGGAATGCGATGAGAAGATACGACGTTTTTTTCTTGAGTTTTAATGCAGACGGATAGCGATTGCTTATTAGTAATCAATTAATGGCTCACGTGGAAAAATGCGTTTCTCAAGTGGATAAAAGTAAGCATGAAGGAACCAACCCAAATTTAGATAAAAATTAATTAAAAGCAACAGTAAGAGCTTTTTTAAACTTAACTAACCAAGTATTTTTTCCCATCAAAAATACCAAAAAAGCATGGGGTTTTTAATATTTAATTAAATGTACAACTGGAAGCATTTAAGGTTGAAAAAATTTAAATTTTTGAAAATTTCTTTCCCATCGTGAGTCGCACGGAATCATAAAACTTCAAGTTTCAATCAGTTTCCATCGATGCTGTCGAGTATCCTCTTACTAAAGGGTCAAAAGAGCCTTCTCAGAATTCTCGCTTCCGTTTCGCACTGCCGTGAGAATTTTTAAGAAAATGCTTTTTTGAAAGGTATCAAATATTTACAGAAAATTGAACGATTCAAATCGGGGAAATATTCTAGAAATATTAAATTTAAAATGGTAATTTTTAGCATTGCAGATGCAGGTGTGCGTTTCTCAAAGTAAAAAGTTGTTTGAGTTGATCGCATATTTCATCGGACGGTCAGTGCCGTTTTCAGCGCTTGTCAAAATTCATCAGTGAACGCCTTGTGAGGGTATGACCTCTCAAAGGTCACTTCCGGGGTGAGATGGATTATCTCTTTTATTTTATTATTATGAAATCCTCTGAGGTTCACTCTCAGGTTCTTTGAAATTTTCATTTTTTTTTGCACCTTTAGCGTTTTAGTTGTGTGATTCTGATCTGTGAGCAGTATCATAGATCATACAGAAAAACCAACCAAATATTTTTATTGACATTTCCAGAGGCACTGCTATGGCACTTATATAAAATTACACGAAATATTCGAAGTGGTGATGATCGATTAATCTCGATAATAATTGATATAACGATGAAGAAGTCATATCTTGTAGCAAAATGCAGTGAAGTTTCGATTGTCTACGTTGGAAAGAACGAGAAACAACTTTATGATTTAAAAAAAAAATAAGAATACTCTAAAATACAAAAATGTAAAATAAAATGTTAAATCTTTTTCTAGCTTTGTATTAGTAAGATTTGGTACGATTGACTACGTTGGATGGAACGAGAGACAACTTTATGTTTTAATAAGAAAAAAATAAGAATAAAAATACAAAAATATACTCTAAAATACAAAAATGAAACATAAAAAGTACAATTTTTTTTAGCTTTGTATTGTTGACGAGGAGAATGAAACTTACTGAAAGTTAAAACATTATTTCCGCGACGATAAATTGTGTTTTGAAAAAAAAAAAAAAAAATTCTTTAGATCATGCGGAATGTTCATGAAATTTAAAACATAATAATCAATCAAATAATTATTATCAACGGTTGCACATAATTTAAACTTTCATATAGATCGACTGACGTTGACGTTGACGTTGACTGACAACGTCGAGAGACTCTAGGCAGTTGGCATTTTTCTATTTCCATCGTCGTTATGAACCACACTTCTCTCAGCACCTACAATGTGGATTTATGATCGAGGAAAATAATCTACCTTTGACTGCCTGCGAAAAAGCGTTTCATCATCCGGTTCAAGGGCTGAAGGAACCCAGCGCCGTGCAAAGTGCAGGCATTTACCGGCACCGAGCTGCTCGCGCGACCTTGCAAAAACCGATGACGTATGTCAGTCCGAGTAAATTGAGGTAGATGTAATGAGTACAACGGGGCTCTGATTGGCTGATAGCCTCGGGCGCCATTAACGTACTGCACATAAAACGTGACTTGGGTGAACCTCTATGATATGTCGGGACGGGGAGCAGAAAGATTTGTCCAGATCTTTATCCATAAACCTACAAATAATCGACGGGGGCCGGGGACCCATCGAGCCATTGCGAAATGCTTCGGTTCAAAATTTGTAGTAGATTAATTTTGATTTTATAACCCTCCGGAATCGATGTGTTAGTTTTATTATTTTTTACTCTTTGTTTTCAAACTCTCCAACTTCTTTTAACAAATTTTTAAACGAGAAGTCAAAGCTCATAATTGAAGCAAGGACTTGAACATGTCCGCGCGTTATTCGCAGATACTGGGGCAATCATGCTTTTGTCAGTGGATGGATTGAACCAGAAAACTGTATTTTACGTTGTCTTAACTCCATCTCGTTTTTACACAGAGATTTAAAAAACTTTGCGTCTCAAAAATTTCTCTGAGTTCTCCTCAGATTTTGAAGCTCATATATCTACACCATCTCATGTTCAACATGAGGAAGAATGAGACATTTGGTCCGGTGTATATGTATATTTAGGCTGAATTTGATTCAATTCGTGCGATTACTGTAAGCTCTTTGAGTCCCAAAATGTTCATTTCATCCCTAGTCGCTTAGTCAAAAGAAGAAGCGAGAATGTCGTCTTGAGTGGGAAGAGATTGAAAATCAGTAAAATTGTTTGCACGTAACCGGAAAATTTAATAAAAATCAGCCGAACTGTTTTTACGTTGTCTAACTCTCCGCGATATTTCATTGTATTTTATACATCAATGGTGAAACTCCCAGAGCACGTATCTCAGTTTGCGACAATGCAGACTTCCTGACATCCTTTATTTTCAAATGGAAAACTATACTCGTCGTCAAATCTTAAAAACTTCCATGATTTCCCTTTCTGTGCGAAGCAAACTCTTAGAAAACGTCAAGGAAAGATGTAGATTTGTTCTCCTTTACAAAAACAAAACAGGAGAGGAAATTTTTAAATACCGCAAAGAGTTACGTGGTTATGGAGTTTTGCCGTCATATATGCCTTTTAGGAAAACTGAACAATATAACGCCTTGAAACTTTTCGTAAATACTCCCGAGATTACGGAGAATCAGGTGTAAAGGCAAAGAGTTACATCGTTTTTTGTAAGAAAAAAATGAAACATGACAGAAAATTTAGACGACTGATAGAGTTAGGCTGATTCTGGTGAATGCTATTCAGTCTACTGATGAGCCTCCTCTACAATCAAGTTCCAGACTCTTAATCATTATATCAGAGACTGCTGAACTCATAGGAGATGCGATTAATCTAAACTTGACAACACTGGAAAGTTTCTCGTAAAACTTTAAAACGGAAATCTAGAGAAAAAAATTCCACTGTCAGTTTTTTCTTTAGAAGGTTCCAGCAAAGCTGCGGCCGTGGCCGCAACACAACGGTTTGACCGAATCGTCCGCGATCATTAACCTCTGATTGGCGGGGCGAACCAAAATCTCGTCTCAATATTTTAACGATGGAAATGTTTTTCGTTAAAGTGCTATTCCACGAATCTTCCTCTTCTCTAAGAAACTTTTTTAAGAAAATGAGGGATGCATTTGACCGCACGGGAGAGGTCCATCGACAATCATCATTTGTCTGAGGGTCGCCGGTCGCCTCTACGCCATTAAAATTTCGATTAAAATTAATTCTGTCTGCTCATCTCTGAAAGCTGACTTTAACGAGAGTGGGCCCTAGGCAAAAGAGCTCTTGTCAAATGGTGCAAAGAGCTCATTTTCTAATGGGAATTTATAATGTTGTGTAATTTGTCCGTATCACAGGAATTCGAACTTCTATGTGTCGCTTAACTAAATCTTACGTCTGCTAAAAAGGTGTTGGTAAAAAAAAGTTTTTCGTCAACGTGGAGCGCAAAATATCAAATCCTTGAGGGTCAGCGTGAACCAGATATCGTACCTAATTAACATCACTGAAAACTGTAGCCTTTGCAACATGCATGCCCCAAAAAACCTAGAACATCTGTAATTGGACTGCCCATCATATAAAAACATTAAAGAGCACTATCTATCCACAAGAGCTAAACTCAATTCTATAGGACTCAGAATTAGACGCCTTAAAATGACTTTTATGCCTATAGACTGTGTCACACTATCAAAATACTCCATCAAAATGTCAAAGTCAAGTGCTGTGAAACCAAGTCATCGAATAAGCCAATCATAACACCTGACCTTGATAATTTGATGGCTATGGATAGTGGGACACAGGCTTATGTTTCCTATGCCCTAATCATTCGTGCATTTATAATAAATGAGTAAAATGTATGTTAAGTGGAGTTTTGCTTGTGTGCGCAAGATTATGATTGTAAATTTGTATGAAATTGTCCGTTTCAACCCCGCCCCCCCCCTTAATAAATCCAACCACGATGATAAAGGTAAAGTAAATTATTTTATTCACACTCAACGCATCTTTAGTGCATTCCGTAAACTTAAACGCTCCCGACGCACACTGGATCGAGTCAAGAGGAGAGGTCGGACAAAATTTGGAGACTTTAAACGCCTATAACTCCGTTTATATAAAGTTTAAGGGTCTGAAATTGACTTAGTTGGTTTCCTCGTAAAATTTTCTTCAAGCAGCACCCTTTATAATTTAAAATATAACGAACTAAACATCAAAATTTGCAGTTTTAGTACAAAATGTCATGTCCGACCTCTCTGACTGACTCGATCTACTGTGCGACGTGCACTGGTAAAAAAAAAAACCTCTTGGTTCAAGAGTGCAGTTTCTTGTCGCCGGATTTAAGAGTCTAGACTCTTGTTTCAAGCGGATTTTGAATTGAGTCAATGCAAAATCCGCTTGAAACAAGAGTTCAAGACTCTTAAATCCGGCGACAAGAAACTGCACTCTTAAGTCAATGCACCGCGGCATTGGTCCAAGAGGTATTTTTTACCAGTGTGACCTTGACGCCACGAGACTCCATGAGCGCAGAGTCGCATCTTTAATATGTTTAGTCTATGGGTGCATCCTACTCAAAAAACCGGGACTGGCGTTTTTTGTTGAGCGGTGACCGCACCGGTGAGCGGTGGCGGGTCGATGTTCGGTCGGAAGAGTGGAAAAATTTACTTACGAGGGCGATTTGGCCGTTGACATCCTTGAGCGGGAGGGGTCGGAGGAGTCTCCATGCGGCCCGGATCACGTAGCCCACGGTTCGGAGGAGGACGCTGAGAACGGCCAGGAGGAACTTGCACGTCTCCAGCAGCTGCTTCTCCGATTTGATGGGACTCGTCTCCATCGTGCAGCCTCTGGCATCCCGAGCTCCCAGCTCCTCTGAAATCCGTGAAGAAAAAGAATTATTGTCAGATTAAAAAATCAAACAGGTCGGAAAGCTTTAATACAATCGTTCTGGAGAAAAGCTCAGCTGTTCCCAATGTAGGCGCGCTTCAAAGTTCCCCACACCGAAAAAAAATTCTCGGCGTTTTTACCAGGGTCCGTTGGCACCTTTACCATCTCACTTTTTTTACCAATTATTGGTAATTTTACTAAGACAGACTGGTAAGTTTACCTAAAAACCGGTATTTTTCAGTGGCGTGGCGTGAATAATCGATTATCGATATCTCGCCATTTGAAGCTACGGTAAAGAATCGATTACTAAGGTGTTCGCTGCGAACACCCTGATAATCGATCTTTTTTCATAGGTTTAAATGGCACAACAATCGATATATCGCAATTCACGCCACGCCACTGGTATTTTTACTGTTTTTTTTTCAGGTAAGAATGCCACTTTTATTGGTAATCAATTCCCGGTAACTTTACTATTTTATCTCGGTAATTCTACCACGGTCGATAAAAAATATTGGCGTTTTTACCAAGGTCCAGTAAAATTACCGAGAAAGTTCAATAATTTTACCGAGATTCTCGGTAAAATCACCAATTTTATAAATGGTAATTTTACCAAGAAAAAACTGGGATCAAATAGGACTCTGAATTCTTGGTAATTTTACCCTTTTCTTAGTAAATACACCGAGATTTTTTTTTCAGTGCATAAAGATGAGCACCGATGAGATGAAATAACTCGCTCACCAAAATTTCAACTATCAATTTTGAAGAAGCTACACTACCGCTAAAAAAATAAAGTAGTCTCATCATCTGTGCTTTGTCATCAGAAGCACTAACTTTAGTACGATATCACTACTACCACTACCAACATATCGTCACCTTTCGGCCAAAGTATCACAAGCGCCATGCGACAATTAAAATTTCCGTCGCCATTTTATTTTTTTCGGAGAGATTTTTCAACGAAGCTGTTCGAAAATTTCACTGAATTTTCATGTGCTGCCGATAAAATTCAGTGAAATTTCAAATAGATTCAACCAACAATTTCTCCGTAAAAAAATAAAAATGGCGGTGGAAATTTTCAAACGTCGCATCCCTGGTAAAAATTGGCGATAGGAGCTGCGTTTCAAAATACCATGGGAGTTCTTATAGCCGACTAAAGAAGGCTATTGGAAATCATATAGCTGGCTGTAGAAAGCGGAGCAAATCATATAGCCGGGCTATACGAAGCTATAAAAAGTATACAGTCTGGCTATAGTTCCTATCGCCGGGCTTTACACTTTATCGTCATTGACTATAAAAGGCTATAGGAAATTGTGGAGAAATTCGTGTGCTTTGGAAATCATTAAGTTTGATACGGAACTACTTTAATATTTACAAAACACACATTATATTTTCCTTTAAAACATATTTTTTTTCATCAATTAAAATGAGAATAATCCACACAGAGTGTGCAAACATTTCAAAATCATGAGTTGAAAAACGCTGACTCCGCGAGATTAAATATTAGAGCGTAACACAAACGGAGCGGCGACGCACTGGCGCCTACAAACCTAACAGGGATACTTCACGCATTGCGCAAACGCGCATTGACGCCTACAAACCTAACAGGGATACTTCACGCATTGCGCAAACGCGCATTGACGCCTACAAACCTAACAGGGATACCTCACGCATTATACGCAATGCGTAAAGTATCCCTGTTAGGTTTGTAGGCACCAATGCGCGCTTCGCGCTCTCTGCCCGCCCGCTGCGCCGCAGCGTGCCACGGCGTCTGAAGCAACTATCACACACCAGAGGTATTGCACATTATCATAAGAAATTGAAGGCGCTCCAACATATTAAGAATGACTGGTATCCTTCAAAAGTACGGAGCTTTCCTCGCAAAATAAATCAAGATACTATGGCACAAAAAGAGAGCGGTAGTCCAAAAACTAACCAAGTCCTAGTATCCGTATTTAGTAACGTCTAGCATAAACTTTATCGTCTGGCTGTTGCTTAATCACCATCGGCTATGAAAGGCGGTAAGAAATTGTATAGCCGGCTACAAATGCTATTGGAAATCTTACAGCCGGCTTTAGGTCTATAGTATTTTGGAACACACATTCTACTGCCAATTTTTACCAGGGATGGCGCTTGTGATACTTTGTCCGGAAGGTGACGATGTAGTCTGTCGAGCACAAGTAGAGGCACAGATGAATTTATTGATGAAACTGCTTAAAAATGACGACAATCAAACCAAAAAAGTCTGAAATCCTTTCCTAAACGCGCAATTTTTATACTTCACATCATAAATTTTCAAATTCTCCGCATCCGTTGACACTTTTCTCCATGTGATCGGCAACTAGGGTTGCCCACACAGAGATGTGAGGAAACCTAACGTAAACCTTCAAACAATCTCGTAAACTGTCATCAATCTTTCTCAGTGTGATGTCTGCCATTTTAAATCATTGTTTCTTCTTTAAATGAAAAATAAGTCTGTATTAACTTGACTTAAGAACGTGTATATTCTCGACAAATTAATAGTCTCTTAAAGAAGTCCTGCGGAGAAAACACATGCAATTGAAGCATATGCACTTGTTTGGGACTGCATAACGATTCATTACGTTTTCAAAATGGTTTAATGACTTCCCGTGGTTTGTTATCTTTCCTTAGATGTTTATCAAAATACGTTAGCTTCTAATGGACATCGCACTTGATTTAATTCAGCTGCGTTATTCTAATATATCGGATCTATAATTCGAACTTATTGTCAGAATATTTGATTTATGAGAACGATAAAAATTAACGAATTTCATTTTTTCACGCCTTATTTTTTCTGAATTTTATACATAGTCTCAATGTTGATTTGTAAAGGCTTCTGGCAATTAAAATAAGCTCAGGAGTTACACACTTACACACCCACAACTCAAGTTGTAAGATTTTAATAAATCAATCATCTCTTTTCTGAACTTATTTAATATTTTTATCGCAAAAACCATGAGCAAACCACCTAATTTCTCTGTTTGTTGTGCTAAGCACGCCTACAGTTAAAATTTTGACACTCTATTTGCATCTGAAAGGAAGTGCGTCGTCAACCTTTTCTATACCTCCAGACACTTAGGGTTTCCTAAAGCTTACTAATTTACAAAGCTTAGTACAGTAAAATTTCACTTTTTTTGTTTTTTATCAGTAATGCTAATACTATGAGTAATATTGAAAGTCGAAGTGTAATTTCAGCGTAAAAGTGTATTTATCTGCATATCGTTGAAATATCTAAATAATACACATAGGAGGGTTGTGTGACTAATTGTAAGACTTCTCTCTCATTTTGTCATTTATGTCTGCCTATTCCATTTCAGAAGGAGAAAAGTACGTTTTGATTACCAGGTTTTACAGATCTTCCTGTATCTCGTCCTTTAGGTGTAGTCTCCCAAGTTTCTTTTTCTTTCTCGAACGATGCGTTAAGGTTTCTCCTTGTCCGCGTATTACTGTTTGAATGACAAGCGGAAGAAAGGCTCTTGATTTTTTTCCCCTCCTGCCTTTGCATTCCAGAATTCTGAAAATCAAAATTAAATCCCAGTTGGTCTAAATCAACTTGATTTTCCTTTCCCTTGGGATTTGAGAATCTTTTTCGAAGGCGTTCCTTACTTTCCACTGTCGCACTTTTCGGAGAATTATTAGAAGACGAGGTTGACAAAACAGTCCTTGCTGTCTGCTGCGAGGACACTTCCGTAGTTCTAAACGGCGAACCATTAGTTTTACACCCCTTCTCTTTGAAATAATCATAAGCAGAGATAAAATCATCTTTCGTGAGCTTATCTTTGGGGCCTCTATTGAATTTATAATAAGAGGAAGATTTGAGTATTAGCACTAGATGTCTACATCTATCACAACACCATGCGGCCTTTTTGTGACAGCAGAAAACATCCTGAACACCGCGTATCGTGTCACCGGGAGGATTACATTGAACACATTTTAACCAGCGATCCGCGTGGTGTTCGCATTTGAATTCATTTGCAAATAAATACATGTAACCCATACTGCATTTGTATGAAAAGCCAATGCACAGTAGTTGAAACGGTAGCCGGTTATAACCGATGATAAAAGAGAGAGCACTTGTCTTGCACTGCGCACTATTTGAACTGAACTATACCGTTAATTGTTACGTAAGGTACTGTTCCGGGCTAATATTAACCCCGCCTCCTTTCTCTTTGAATGCATTTATGATGCAAATGTGAACCCCTGCGATGTTTTTGGTATGCCATTAAAAAAAAAAGACACTCTTCGGCAATAATAATTATCAATTCATCGTCAGATTTCAAAAAGTGTATGCAGCGCAGTTAGAGAAATAGACTTATTTAAAATTCTTTGCCGAATTATAATCGTTTGTTTGTGCGACCTAACTTCAAAATTGTGTTTCTCTGAAGAAAATTGATTATCAAAATTTTAGGGTTAGTAATAGCTTCTGATTTTTTCAATTTTATTTACTTATTTATTTCTTAATTGTTTGACCTCTCATGCAATTAACATCTGCGTACCTACTCTGCTCAGTATAAAAACAACCCATTTCTACATAGAGTCTTCAATCGCTTAAATTTCCAGGAGAAAATAAGCAAAAACTTTGGTATCGCCGTATGTAAGTCTCTTTATGATAAATTAACAACATACACCAGATACATTTATATATTATTCCAAACTGTTGGCCCCAATCAGTTTTTCCTTGAATTCCCACTATTATTCCTCCGAGTCAGGTTGTTTACAAACTAAATGATTCAAATCAATGACCCAAGTGCGAAACCACGTATCTCTATTTGTGACGATGTAGACTTCCTGTCATACTTTACTTTGTCTATGGAAAACAAGTCAACGTAATTTCCTGAAAACTTCCTAGATTTCTCCTCTCTATGGAAGAATATTCTATACAAATTTTATGGTATGATGTTCGCTTGTTCCTATTCGAAAAGTAAAATAGGACCAGAAATTTTTAAACATTGCAATGAAGGGGCTTAGAGGACAAGGCGCATAAGTGCAGTTTTTGAAAAAATGGAAATATTAATGATTTCGACTAAAACTAGTCTTAAAGCATATTCTGTAATAAAAAAATTCGCTCCCTAACTCCAATTTTTAAGCATCAAAAAGTGAGTTTGAACTTTTTTTCCGCCGTAAGGAACCATGTAATGTCGTAACTTCAAACACGTATTTCTCGAGACGGCAAAAACTGCACCTATGTGCCTTTGTCCTCTGAGCCCCTTAATGGAGATACGAGGTTTCGCACTTTGGCTATACTGAAATATTTCCCGCAATTATTTACTCATTTTCTTTATTTTTATTTTATTTATTTTATTTATTTATTCTTTTGCTTTTTGCACATTTGGCTTCACAAAAACGTCATTTTCTAAATAAAGGTACTGATAGGTATAAACATATTTACATACAAATCGTCTTAAATTCATTCATTGACATTCAAAAATTCATTGATTGAGTACGGGCATTTTGCAATCAAATGCCTTGTGGCCAGCTTACCGAATGTTGGACTATATACGCTTTCCTGTATAATATTTGGCAATTTATCAAAGAATTTCCATGCCTTTGTTAGGTATGCGTCGTTCTCTGATAAACTGCTAAATTGGTGATATCTTGTGCCATACCCATGTGTCTCTGCCTTATCTCCCTTCAGCCTTTTAGCCAGTAATTTTAAGTGACTCATAATTATTTTGGCCGGTAGGTCGGTTCTCAAGTTCAACTCAAAATTTTGGCCGAAATGGCAGCATGGTCGAGCACTGAGTATGATCACTGGCAATTAGACAAACCTTGACCTTAGCAATGAGCTTTGCGCAGCGGACGAATAAGAAAGGGAGAAGAGCACGCGTTATTCGGCTCTTCTGTTGTCTTCACGCGATCCGCTCGACCTTGCGCTCACTCACCAGTCGCTGCTGCTGTGTTAGTCGAGATAATTTATGCAGATAATGAATCATAATCAATTTCGGCAATCGATGATCAGGCATAAATCAGAGGCTTATCCACTTGCACTTCCGTCGGAATCCGGAGATCGCGAATGAATCCGGCCGTGCTAAGGAAAAACGCCGTACGAGCCTTTAGGCGTTGCCAAATTTCCTTTAAAAAATGCAAATTTCCTTGAAAATTTGTGGGAATTTTTCTCCCAATTTTTCATAGGCCTTCATTCGGAACTACAGCTGTATCTACACATTCAAAGGAATTTTTTTTAAAGTTTATTCAAATAATTTCCTTGTTCGGGGATTATACATACTAGATTATGATAAATCGACTTAAGACTAGGCATAAGACTAAGCTATTAGAATCAGTTGTGCCCCCAGGACAGGGGGCTAAAGGAGAAATGAGAGGCTTGGAGGATAGGCGAGGCGTATAAATGCAGTCTTTGACAAAATTTATGTATTAATGACTTCATGTAAAACTAGTCTTAATGCATATTCTGGGGAAATTTCGATCCAAAATTCCGATTTTTAAGCTTCAAAATTCTGTTTCAACTTTCTTTTGGCTATAAGAATCCGTGTAATGTCGAAAATTCAAACGCGTACCTATTTCTCAAAATAGCAAAGACTGCACTTACTCGTATACGCCTTGCCCAGCAAGTCCTTCAAATATTCGTGACTCTCATTAACATTTTATCGGAGGAAAGACACCTATCGAATGTTCATACTGCGTTTTTCCTAAGCAAGATAGAATTCTGTCGTTCTCCTGACGTTAGGACGTATGTCCATTTCCACTTCAAGTCCCGGAATGCATGGAATTTTATGGACAGGATGGTTCAACTGAAAAAGCACTTAAGATCTTATGTCAAAAGAGCAACTATGTGATGTTCACTTAGTGTGGACGAGGGAAGTTGCGTGGATCATATCGGCGCTGCATTTTACGCACTGGAGATTGAGGGGTCAAATTTAATTGTTTCGTGTGAAATTAAAAACCCGACGCTGATGTTTGCACGCAGATCCCGTTATCGCGAAGTGCGATCTTGCTATGTTTTTTTAGCGCTAAAAACTCGTGTGAGTAATTTTACTCTTTTTGCAACTGCAGTTATATTCCGTGCGACGAAGAGGAGGTGACGTTAGCCTTAAAAAATATCTTGTGAAACCGTTAAATGTAATACTTAGTCAAACATTCAACGATGAGAAATAAGGTGAAAAAAATGCTAACTGAAAAGTAACAGCATTGTTTTAAGGTCTTATCGTTTCATCCATTGAGCCCTTGATGAATTTTTGTGTTTTGACCGCACATAAGAATTATTGCAATCATTCATACATTGTCCATTGTTTCTCAACTTCGATGGAAGCCTCTCAACACGATTTCATTTATATTTAAGGTTCTATCTGAGACTGTGAAAAGTTCAATCAGGTCGTGACTTTTTTACTTTGGCATGATAATTAGTGTAACTTGACTTTTTGTTGTCCTCATCAAAATGGCTTTAGAAAATCAAAATCGATGGCCGAGGTATACGAAAGCACGTATCTCTGTTTGCGAAGTTGTAGACCTCCTGTCATACTTTATTTTCTTACACAACGCATGGATTTTACAATAACGCACGAATTCTTAAAAAAAGGATAGATACTTAATGGTTCATATCACATGAATTTTCCATGAAACAGAGCTACAGCGCTCCAAAAACACACATTTTACTGATCTCGTACATAAACATGGGGCGTCAGAAACCGTTCATCTTTTCTACCCGCGCGTTTAAGTCTCTCTATGATACCATGTCTCCTCACTGCGATACGGATTTTACTGCTGCGGCACAAATTATTACACGTATCTCACAGAGCTTGTGTACTCTCTCTCGTGTAGTCTCTCTGTGCAGTGGCGTGGCGTGCTTTGCGATACATCGATTGATCGGCCATTTAAACCCATGGAAAAGTATCGATGAACAGGGTGTTTGCAGCGAACACCTTAATAATCGATTATTTACCACAGTTTTAAAAGGGGAAATATCGATAGATCGCAAAGCACACCACGCCACTGTCTCTGTGATTCCCTGTCTCCCCATTGTGACAGGGATATTGTTGCTGCGGCAAAGATTAGAGACATTATTGATGCGGTGGGTAGGGGGTCATCCGTGGTCACGGCCTAAAAGGGTTTGGAAGGGTCCCTCATCGACGTGCCTATGCCGACCATTTAAACTCTTACCCTCCATTCAGAAAACTTTGAAGCAATGCTCTTGCGTAACAATTTTCCATCTTAGCTGAAGACTGAAGATAATCTATCTAAATTCAAGTGAAGACTATCCTCTAGTCCCAAAATATGACGCAATGCAAAACGTTCCACCCTTCCTTCTTTTTAAAGTGGAGGCAAAACCAGAGCAGAAATTCGAAAATTATGTTCAGAATTTCTTTTACAACGCAATCCAAAATATTTTACTGTCCACACTATGTCCAGTAAAGATGAAACTGGGGCAAATTTTAGAAATAAATTAAAATTGGACCTCAACCGAGATTTTTACCATTGCTTCAAAATTTTTAGCCAATACAGCACAAATTTAGAGTTACAAATAACAGCAACTTATTTCCAAAGGCGTAAACTCGCTATTCGATCTTGTTTTTATGGAGTCATATTGAGTGAACGCAAGGTTTTATGATCACAAAAGAGAGGAGAGCGGAAAAGAAAAAAATTAAAATCGTCTCTTTGTGATTAAACAAAAAGAGAATTAGAGGCAGTAAATGAATCGAAAATGTTTCATTAAAAGAGGCTCTAAAACTCAGAAACGGAAACTTATTCGATCATGCGTCGGTCAAACCGTAAATGATTCAGTGAAGGTCGCAATGTTGCTGCAACACTTCACACGCATGAAAAAAAAACCGTTCTCTCATCAATTTTTTTCGGCTTATTAGTACTCTGAGCGCCGTTTTTATGCGCGTTGTTCTTTTTTTTTTCTTTTTTCATTCCCACAAGGATTCGTTCGATAATCCGTCCGCTCACTCATCTTTTTCGCGTAACTTACAGTTATCTCTAAAATATAGACTGTCGTTTCTCTCGCCCGAAACTAAGCCTAACCTCGAATTTTTTCTCAAGTTTTTTCTACCGGTCTAACCTCGAAATTTGGGGGCACGACCTTAGCGGACGGTCCGAGCGCCGTAAATCGACGCACCAAAACTGTTACAGTTCGTAGACGGAAGGTCAGC